TCCTTGCATGATGCGTGAAGAGATTATTATTATTTCAGCTATACACCAAGCAAAAGAGCAACAAGGATTCAAGAAGAGTTCAGCTTGAGTATGCAAAATAACCCGTATAAAAACGCACTGTTGGCATGAGCAAATTTCAGTTTTCAATGAAGTCACAAATCACCTAATAACTTCGCACTCACTGAAATCAGAGCACAACAAGTGGAATTTTGAAACAAGTTGATTTGATTGAGTGTTTTCATGCACTCACTTCAAAATGAAGAATATATAACCGAGGAAGAAAGTCGATAATTCGAAGATGGTTCATTGCAAGCTCAATCAACTATTCGATTAATACAAAATTGAGACTGCAAAATCGATGTGAGACACAGCTCTTGTACAATGCAATGCTCAAGGTGCGATTACACGGCTTAAGTCCAGTTACCTCAGATCATTTCGGAGCCCAGGTACGAGAAATCAAACTTAAGTGGTAACCCATAGATTAAGCTTTGATATGTGAAACTGAGCCGAGGTACTCGGTGTTAAGCTAAGCTGACATGAGTCGGGCATGAATCAACTGCAGATATGGAACCAGTAGATGATATGTATTGCGACTGCAGCAGTAATGGTTTCAGACGCAACGATATTTGGTAATAATGAACGATCCAAGAAAATGCCTCCATTAATGCGCATTTATGAGTATTTGCTCCGCTTGCAGCATGAATAAACTTTCGATTCATCGATAATAATCGTTTTTTAAAAGCACTTTATTACTACCATCATAATAATAGCACATTACATACACACAGACGCATTGAAATGATTAAAGTAAGATTATCTCGCATTATAACAAATAACAACGTTATCCATTGCAAGCAAAAAGATATCATATCCTTATTGCTTTCCGCATCAAACGCATTCGATGCCGAAGTACCTCGGCATTCCTTTTCAAGAAATGATTTTGAATGACTCTTTAAATTTAGCTTGTCTCGTGCTCATTGAACGATTCAAGTGAGAAAGTAGCACTCCCCGATCGATTAGATAAATGAATAGATCAGTAAACAAACGGCAAATTCAATAAACCGATTTGCTCTCTTCAAAAAATACCTACTCAATATGCGTACCGAACGATAGATATCTAAAATGTATCTATTCAGTAACGCAATCGATTCTTACACAATATGCGTTTGATGATGAATTCGATACGGAGACAATCGCACTGGATGATGAAGATTAATCAAATCCGAAATTATTGTAACGTTCACTGAGTAACAAAATTAACATTAAAATGAATGCTTAGATCACTAAATTGATAACAATACGAATCGACGCATATCAATAATTAATATTTATTAAAGTTTGTAGCAGTGTTGTTATTCGTTCCATTTTTTTGATTCAAAGATCTAACTCGAATCGGCAAAGCCTCTTCACCGGTCCATGGTGCCGGCTTAGCAGTGGCCAATAAGCAAAATATGGCATTCGCTACCAGAAGAATTGCTGCATGCAATAAATACACCCGTCTCCATTCAGTTATTGTTCCGTCAACGAGTAACGAATTCACCTGAATATTTTTCGTTTCATTTCATCACTTAAATGAAATGACAATAACAATAGGTCATTAGCACAATAAGACGAAGGCTATGCGCAAGTTAATAAATGTTCTGGCAATGTCCTAGTTTACCTAACCACTGCTCAAAGTGCACGAATTTTTTTCTACTACTTTTATCAACAATTACAATGTTGTAGTATCATTGTCACTGTGATTCCACTTACATTTTATTCGTTTAATCAGCAAATCAAACTCATTACGAGTCAATGCCTCTCTGTTATCACCAATATCACTAATATCACATTCTTGCCTCCTTGGCATTCTTCTTTCCGCGCAGCTAACNATTGTTTCATTGTTTTAGTAATCCCTTGTGACCGGTCAACTTGCCTAAAGACATTTAGCCTAACGACAGTTTGCCTAACTTACGGTTTTTTAATGGATATTTCACCTAATAGACAAACTGTTCCTTTGGCAATCTGTCCGTTAGGCAAAATGTCCGTTAGGCAATATGACTTTAGGCAAACTGTCGTTAGGCTAAATGTATTTAGGCAGATTGACCGGGTACCGTAATCCCTACCAGTTGGAAGGCTGGTTATCAGATTGAATCTGTAACCAGGACAAAACTAATAAAATTTCATTTGGGAGTTAACAAAATAGTATTTTTTTGGCGACATTATGACTTTTATCTGCTTCAGTGTTTCTATATCGCTACAACCTTTTGTAAGTGCTCTTATAAACTATACTTTGGGGATAACATGAACAGATATAAGCCAAACCATGGCCTGGCTCAGGCTCACTAATATCGATGACATTGATACACCATTCGGTTTCGAGCGAAACTTTTTTCCGCGAGAGGGAATCGTAGCATTTATCGCAGTTCGATTCTCGCTCGTGAGGGAAAGTTTTGCTCATTGTCAGAAGCGAACGGTGAATCAGTGCCACTGATTTCGAGAATAATTATTCCAAATTTGCACAGAATTTCATGAGAAGTATTGAATTACTTGTTGAATGAAAATTTGGAATATATTCGTGTTCTCAAATGATTTTCAGTTATGAATCATTCAAAAAGTTGATATGGGATATAAACTGTAAATGATAATATAAGTAATACAATACTNGGAATGAAATGAACGTTTCGATTTATAATCAGAACGGATTGATGAAACTGAATGAGAATCAAAACTGACGATAATGGGACAGATAAGCATTGCGATACACCACAACAGTTGAATATTGCCCAGTACAAATTGACTGTATTGACGAGATACTAGTGTCGCACACTGAAACTTTTCATTATTATTATTACTATATTATTATTGCTACTCAAAAACCATTAGCACAAACATGCTAATTAATTATTACTCAATTCGTATATGAACAATAGTCAGTGATGAAAGATACTGACCTTATTGAAGCCACCTCCATTGAATCCAAACATAGAGGTTGACAACGTCATTAAGACTATGCCAGTAATAGGGTATCCTGCGATGGGTATTAACATTAAATCAACCATAATCACTAATTTTAAAATCGGTGCATAATTAATTAGAACTAAGTTTCGAATACAATATCAACAGTGAAGTATTATATCTTACCTTGTGGAACGAAAGCTAGAGCAATCATAAATAAGGCGGAAACACCGAGTGCGATTGAATTGAATAAACGCAGTTTTGTTGTTTCAGATATACAATGAATTTTATCACTACTATGACCACCTAATATCTGAATATCCATTTCATATTATCTTGTCGATAGTTCAGTTGGATATAACAAATCCAAAATTTAGTGGTAGTCTGATTTTGTTGCTGATTGATCATTAATTTATCAATAGATTCAAGTTGATTTGATAAAGGAAAGTGATTAAAGCATTATCGAGTACCTTGACAAGAAACTGGAAAAATACAGGTAGCGCAGCTGAGAGACCAGTGTTGCGCACTGAATAGCCAAGAATCTCACGAATATATTGAGGGCTGAACGTATGGATCAACTGAAATTTAACGAAAGGAATAATTACATGAAATGAGTCGAGTGCCTTCAATCAGCTATACGCTTTAAAATCATCTTTAACTCACACATGATAATCAGTACATCAAAAAAGTTATGACATGCTTCACAATCAGCCATATTGTGGATCAGCAATTACGATCTCGAGATAACAACCTTAAATTACTGGGAAGTTGGAGCGAAAGTGAATCTATTGAATGAGTTAGTTCTGACCTGAATGGCAAACAGATCACCAATCGCAGCAATCCAAATGCCCCATATGGTCGGTGTTGATATAATCTTGAGGTAAGGGATTGTTCGCTTGACGTGTTGACGATTACTACTGACTGCACTAAAGTCGTTCAATGAACGCCCTCTACTGATCTTCTCCAGCTCAACACTGTCAACGAATGGGTGTTTCGCTGAAACGAACAACCGGCTGGTTTGAGCGTGGCTCGTTTTGAGTTCTAATCGTATTGAACGGTGAAATTATCTGCTGCTGCTGCTGCTTCAAAAGTAAGAATAGATGAAAAAAAGTAGATCTGATAATAAAACGAGAAGAGAACCAGGTTGATTTCGATAAACAAACAGCCATATGAGGAACGATATCAAAGAGAATAGCGAATGCAGATAGTAGACAGCTGGCCATCCGAAACGTGATGTACAAAGCTGAAAGGAATTAGTTCATTTGAATTATTTTTATTCGTGCTGTGAACGGCACAGGTGAGAGGAGGCGGGCGATTTGCACTGATTTGTCGCTGACAGATCTAGAGCCGAAATTTTTTTTAAACTGCAGAGCCAGAGCCGTAATTNCGCCGAACCAGAGTTGGGTCAATTTCCTTCAAATTAGGCATCGCTGCATGTAAGTCCGTCACTTTTGTCAGCTGGCAGTTACGAGATGAAAATAAGTTTAGCATTTTTGAGAAGAGGCCGTAGAAGGTCATCTTTTGAATGCAACAACCTTGTGCAATTTGAATTATTAACTAATCTCGCCATTAAAAAAATACCTCTCCCGAAAGTGGCATCGAGATAACAACCGAAATTTGACCGAAGCACGTGAGAGCGGCCATGAAAAGGCCGTGTTGTTTGAGGGATGCCCAGTTTGAGGTGACCATCCCGGCGATTGGTAAACACATCGCAAAACTCATTCCCTGATCATTTGATACGGCATCATGAGACTCGATAATACTTATGTATTGCAACAAACTTTATCAAAAAATAACTACTGAATACGTGCTCAGTAACAATCAGCTCACTCATATTCATCAATCTGTATTCGTCTTAATTTCGGCACATCCACTATCGATGCATATTGCAGTTAAGTCGGGAGAGAATTGGGCCCGAAATCCCCGAGGTTGAATGCTCCCGAGGATATGCGTAGGATTAAGGACCATCCGAAGCCTCGAAATTGCTCAAGAGCGCTAGTCTGGGGGCTCTTAACCCTATCCTCAGGAGCCTGCGATTCCCAGGCTTCTAGGGCAAAATCAATCCAGCAGACGTCCGAGAGCAGTGGATGAAGTTGGGGCGCCTGAGACCTCGTAGCTGTTCGAATACCCCCGAGTTCAACCGGGTGCCTGACTTAGCTCTATCCCATACTATGCGAATTGAGTACAACATAGCGTTCGTCGCGGAATGAGGTCCCTGAAAGGGATCCCGTTCCTCAACAGTTCCCCGACAATTTTGCTCGTTGGTCGGGTATCTCTCCGGACTGATGCTTCCCGCGGGGAGACTCTCTAAGCAATTTGCCTTCTAACAAACCCCAATCCGAAAAAAGCACATCAGGTAGCTAGTACCTGTAAAATTCGAATGAATACAAAGAATTTTAGCGTTTCCTGAGACGCAGCCAACGGTTCGAAAGCAGTGGCCACAGCAGTTAACATTCCTGCGCCAAAAAAAGTCCATCTCGCACCGTATGCCTGAAACGATACACCACCAGTCTAAATACTGTATCAGTGAGTTCCAACGGTAAACCACTTACGATATTCCATGAAAATCAAATCACCTGAATAGCGTAGGTTGAAGGAAATGCAGCAATAAGTGCACCAATAGCAACAGAACTGAATATGACGGTCTTTTCATTCTTAGTGTATCCATCATGTTCGGCATCGAGCAAACTCTGAATGACACTTGAGTTGTTGACTTAGGTTGAAGTGCAAATTGAATGTAAAAGGTAATGATCGAAAAAGCTGATGATAAAGTGATGAAGAAAACTCATTTTAAACTTTATTTTAGATTGCTCTCTCTCAAAGCATCCGGTGAGAGAGTAACCGTTACAACTATTTCAGTGATAGAAATTGAATAATCATGAAGACGTCGTGCGATGATCTCATACGAAGAGAAGGAAGAGTATGTTGCGATATGATGAAACGTTCTTATTGTAAATGAATACCTGATTGGCGAGAGGAAGTTCACTATCGCGGTTACTTCTAGTCATACAAAGCACCGTAAAATTAAAGACGATTATATTGGACATAACAGATGACAAGCATATCGCCGTTAATATCAATATACAATACCGCATTCGATGAGCCATCCTCGACTGCTCTTCATTATTCTCAGTCACAAACGCTTCTGACTGCTTTGCATGATTATTGTTGTGATTATGAATATTATTATTATTATTGTTATTGTTATTTACAGTACTCACTCCATTCTGCATTCTGCAATTTGCGAAACATTTCTTGTGAGATATTTATCGAATGAATTACGCAGTAAATATCAGGTCAATGATATGATAAAAACTCATGTGGAATGATTTCAATACAGTATAATGAGGATAACATCGTGCAAATTGTACATGAAAAGAACATCATAAAACTGTATGCAATATTAAGAGTGCAATCAACTTTTCAATCCCTCTCAAAAGTACACGAACAGAACCCAATTGTATCGCTAAAGTGCGGATACGTAGGCAGAATGGCGAAAGGATTCATTCAGTTAGGGTATTAGTTCAAGAATTAATATCGTCCCACTCTTATCTCAATTTTAGGAATGAACATCATTCCATTATCGGTACAGAAATTTT